GTAACATTTAATCATAAAATCCCACAACACAACATGAAAATCTAAGAAACTGTATGCAAATACTGAGAGAAATATGTGAAAATACTAAACTGCGAACGCGGGAATATGAGAGAGCATTATAAGCGTCGTGCTGTTAGGCGAAATATTTCAACAGAATTCAGTTCTTGATCTCTTGCGAACTGATATAAAACCTCTCTGACGGTCTCTCAAAATTCTGATCTCAGAACAATCCCTCGAGTCCTCAAGACTAATGTATTGTTGCTTAACCGTCCTAGAAAAATCACATCCAGTGTCATGCATCCAAACGGAAGGATGGTATGTTTCATCATAGTAATATAGCAAACACCTCATTCCTCCTCCTCCACCATCACCACCCTTAGTCCTCCCTGGGATGTAAGCCTTGTAAATGTTCTTTGTATTCAGCCTCTTAGATGAACTTGGCTTCACTGTGTGAACTTTCTTCAATATTGATCCCACCCTTATCTGAAGTTCAATTGGTTTATCACTAAAATTCCTAATCCTTGTTCCATGCCCTGAAACTCAGGTATGATCCCACTTCCCAGCATCCACTGAAACACTTCAAAACCGAAACAAGGCTCATACTGCAAAGTTTTGAAAAGGAAAAAGTTGCTTATTGCTCGTGAGAGGTACACAAGCCTCTCAAGACTTGATGATGAATCTCTTTGTATCGTCGACCTTACTGGCCGTTGATCAAATTGCATGCACCTAGATTTATAATTTTTAGGTTATGATCAGGTCAGACCCCGATTTTACTCTGAACAACTATCCCATTGTTGTTTCCTAGAGGTGTAAAGGTGTACGACTATCCCATTGTGGTTAGCACGAGTATACCGTGTTATCCTAGTAAGTGATGAGAAAAACAAAACAAAACGAAACATTTGGACATTAAGAACTCGTCCAGATCTCCAAATCAGTCTTTTCTTCTCCTCGCAAGATAGCGAACACAGCGTATCAGAAGGCAAAAAATGACGACGAAATATGCCAAGTAGCAGCAGCAAAACCAATAGCAGTCATATTCATTTTCTCCATTTGTCGTTAAGCAGAAGTATAATTATGTAAAGTAAGCTTTCAGAAGAAATAAGCTATTTCTGTTAAAACCACCTAATGTAAAAGTAGATTTATACTGACTGTACAGATGAAGAATAATATAAAAGCATCACCAAGCAGATGATTAGTATAAATGATATAGCATTTCGGAGAAGGCAAGACTTTCTGGAGTTTGTAAACTATATTTCATGATGATCTTGAGGGGTATCGATCTTAACCATAAGCGGATCGTGGAGATTTACAGCAGAGTCGGCTAGAACGGGTAATTGTGGTGATGCAATATCATATTCAATATCCTCGTTTTCAGCCAATGCTTTCTCTAAAGCAGCTTTTGCAACTCTAGTAACACAAATTATTAATACCACTGCAAGCAAACCCAACGGGAAATGAGTGTGTAAGTTACATTAAAGTACAAATATTATATGACTGCGGAGGAAAAGAAAACAACAATTCAACAAAAAGAAAAGAAACTGCAAAACCAATGTAACTACTAGAAGTTAACGTCATAGAGCCAGACACCTCAACTGAGCCTTATCCCGTACTCAACAAGAATCAATATTCTTAAGGAAATGATATGATATAACATGAGAATGTTTCAAATGCCAAAAGAAAAAATTCTTCAGCAACGTTTTATGGAACTACATATCAAAATGAAAATCAGAAACTAGTTACACTATCAATAAGCACAGAGCCTGCAAATGAACTGGAGCATTTTTACACAGGTGTCTTCATTTGGGATCTAAAATCTATAGCCAAATGTCCAAAATTAAGTTATTATGGTATTTTGATGTCCAAATGTCATAAGATATAGAAGTTGTCTCTCTCTCTCTCTCTCTAAAACTCTGGATTAGACAAAATAACCCCCTTATAAAAGTAATTTTGTCACTTGTCAGTACAGTCTTCGATATATGCTGTTCAAGCTAAACAATTTTCAATAATAAAGAAAATCATATGGTCCGTCTAACTCCTCAATTAATTATTTTTGAAGGGAATTTCTCCAAATATACGATGATAAAATGTATACGATGATAAAATGGGGTCAATGAGTATCCATTTGGAACTTACCAGAAGTCACAAGGCCAAACACAATCAGTGCCTGCATCAAATAAAAAAAAAAGGCTAATGTCAAACTACATTAATTTTGTAAAAACACGGGTCTGTTAAAAGACAGAGAGAGGCTTTTATCATTTCAGCGACATGAAAGATGGATACAGATAGCCAAAAATAATGAGCATAATTCAGGCTGCAACAATGAACTTGAATTGTGTATAAAGCCACTATCATCTCATCTTCATAACTGAATATCCATCATTATCAGAGTCTGAAATCTTTTAAGAGCTCAACTAAAATTTGAAATTCAACAAAATCCAATAAAATTATATACTCCCTCAAGAATCCAGTTTATTATTTAATAATTTTTAGTTTCTTTCCCTCAAGAATTATAGACACATACATTCCAACCATATTTTAAACATGAAAGAGCAAACAACAGAATGAGCTCATCTAACTAAAACCAAACAAAAATACACCACAAGGCTCTTACCCAACGAGTTTTTGAAAATTCACCCCATCCATGTGTTACGTCAGAGAGATCCTTCAGAGTTGTCCCAACATATACCAGGGCAAAAGTAATTGGCTGCAGAAAGAGCACAAATGGGCATCAATGCACTAAGCAAACAAATGGAATCATTTAAGACAAAACATACATAAATGTACATCAAGGTATTTGTAGCAGGTCAATATAGCATAGAATTTTTTAAAATGAAAAGGTTTTCAACAGCAGTAACACCTTAAATGCAATTAATTCATTGGCATATAATATCTAATGAGATTATTATTGTAAAACTGCATACCATCATTCCCAACCACGATGCTAGCATGTAATGTCCAATGGAGACTGGAGTCACGGATAAGAGGTAGTTCAACATGTTAAATGGAAGTAAAGGAACAAGCCGAAGCAGCAAAACAATCTGTTCAACCGTATGAATGTAAAAATCAAACAAATTATTCAAATCAACTAGCTATGAAAGACCAGCATCAAAACAAGGCACTTAATTTCATAGGATCAGTACAGACCTTGAATCCAGATCTCCGAATTGCAATTGCAACTGCACGAAACTGCGGATAGTCTTTCAACTTGGAAATCACAAATGACCTCCCAATCTGTTCATTGTTAGATGGGGAAATAATTACAAAGGAAATCTAATAGAAATTTTTTATAGATGTTTGTATGCCAGCTAAAGGTGTCCTAAAAGTGGAAAACTAAATGAAGAAAAGAAATGTTTCATCTCTGAGCCTCATGCTTTTATTAACAAGAAAATAAATGCTGCTATTAGACTACAGAACTTACAGTTCTCCCTAGAAGAAATGCAGCTCCAGCACCAATTGTAGCACCAATAGAATCAGCAACAAAACCCACAGGCAAGCCAAAGAGATAACCACCACCCAGCTGAAATGATACCAATTAGCAAGAAAAGGTTCAGTTCAACTGGGAGAGCATAAGATGGTGAAAATGTATCCGTTCATGTATTTTCAAAGAACTTCAAATTTGGACAAATTAAGACAGATGCTAGAGGGGATAAAACTAAATGAAACAAACAGATAACAAGTAAAAATTATGAATTTATGCTAGTAATAAATTTAGGAAGTACTTCAGAAACTTCAATACAAGCATTTTGGAAAATTCAATGCCACACAATCTACAGGAATTTCATTATAACGTGGATAGCCATGAGGAGGTGCATATAACTATTTTAAGCATCCATGTGACACCGATACTAACACATCAGTTCACTCCACCCCCAATTTCCAAAAGAAAAAGGAAAGAAATGAGAAAGAAAAAAACTGATTTTGAAAAGGAGAAACTATAAAGGAATCCAGGAGACAATTAGCCTTTGATTGATCCCCATTTTCCAAAAACTCATTTTTCATCAAACTTATTTGCAATTACACATTTCATGAAATCCACAAACTTTTATTAACTTTTCAATCACACATTTCTTCAACTTTTGTCAAAATCTACTAAATATATAATTTTTAGCTAACCAAACATTGGCTTGGTTGCGAGGAGAATGGAGATAATCGATGCATTATATGAATAACGTCTTGGACAATATACTCAAAATTTGAAGTATTTACTGGCCCTTCCCTTTTACTTATTAAAACCTATTTCTCCTTTCTTGTTTATTCTTTTCCCTCCCATTACCCTGGAAAAGAATGGAGCTTAAGTTTTATATCTGAGCCACTAATAACTAGGGAATGTGCGATAACTAAAGAAGGCTTGTAGATTAGTTGACACATGGAAAGAAAATCAAGTAAAAAATCACTGCCAGAAAATGAAGGACGGATATCAACCAATGAACTCCTTTATTTCCGCACATGCACTCCAACAAAATCCGTATGACTGTTACTGATGTTTTGAAATTGAAAACACTTTGTTGGAATTACAGAACAGAATAAAATTGACTATTAACAGAGATATCAATTCTTACCGTAAGTACCGAAGCTGGAACTGCCAGTACGGTTAGAGGAATATATGCAACAGCTCTGCAGGATTCAAAAAGCACGAGTGACTCAAAATGACACTCATAGTTACCAAATTTGTGATACATCCTATAACCAGCTTAATATGTGACAGTGCGGTAATTATATTGATGTTTAATAAACTAATACGTGTTACTGGGCAGCAAAGCAGTTGAAAATTATGTTGCACCAACAACACTAGATTTAAGCAATGTTTAAAAAGTTAAGTGCATTTTTGGCAAAGCTTATAACTGATTATGAGCTTGTCAAACTCTATTTTTATCTATATATTTTGTAAGACTTACAAATTTTACCAATGTTTTAATCATACATTCTTTAGTACCCATTACTTGTGAGCACTTAAAAGCTTAGCCAAGCAAGCACTAAATCGAGTCGTGAGACATTTTCCCTTTATCAGTACATTAAAAAATATATATACTTACAGCACAAGAGGACCCCAAGGACCAAGATCTTGCTCTATCCATACTAAGAATTCCTTCAACAACTGCAGAAAACAATTGTTTCAGCAAGAGAATAAAAAAATACATAAGTAATAATAATTAATTCAATCAAAAAAATATATATTAATAAAAGGCTAGCTGTAAGGATAAATGTCTTTAACAGATAAATATACATTCCAGAACAAACGTAGTCTCTATGTTAACATAGCAAAAATACAACAAATAACATAGCGGCCCATACAATAGTCATCAAAATGATAAACGGTGAAAACATGCTTTGTCTAATCAGTAAATTGGATTACTTTCTAGCATCATTTTGTCTTAGTTTATTTATTCAAGTTCCAAGCAGAGAAGCACCAGTTTTTTACAAAATAATAATAAGGCAATAGTTTTTTCTTGGAAAATTGAAGCAAGCTGCATTAGTTCAATCAACAGATTACGGAGTACTCATTGACCATAACAGCTCCGAGCCAATGCAAGTAATTAAGTGGCATCTTGATTCACATAAATAATACTAGATAGAACTCTGTCCTTTACTTAGTCAACAACCAGTTCACAGAG